AATTCTCTTTCCTCTCTCCCTTTTTTTTAAAAAAAGATTTTGTTTTTAAGTAATCTCTACACCTAACCTGGTGTTTAAACTCACAACCCTGAGATCAAGAGTCACATGCTACACTGTCTGAGCCAGCCGGGCACCCCTCTCCTCTCTCTTTTTAATGTGTATAGAAATAGAACCAGTATTTGGGATAGATGTTATAGTACTCATAGATGACAGAAAGAAAATGGAGCTTTTCATTTATTGCTTCTTTTTTCTCCATTATCAAGAATGTTTTTAAAACATGAACACAAGTCTAAATAAAAAGGAATTGATGACCAAGATGGATTAAGAAATGAGATAAAACCTAATGACTCTAAATGAGTGTCTTGAGGCTTTAGGAATTATTTCCATGGCACTAAAATAACTTGTAGGTTTTGGGTTATCTATGAGAAATTATGCAGAACAGGTTGCCAGAAAATTGTGAGAAATACAAATGTCTTGATTTTTTCATTTAGGAAAAGGGCAGAATCTGTAAACAACTGCCCAGTGTGCTTGAAATTGGTCTTAGCAAATTCTAGCATATTTTTATTAGAAAATGTTTTTAGAGAATTTAATGGTGATTTATAGTAATTGGTATGAATCAAAATGTTTCACAAAGACTATGTCATAATAAACCATTTCCTTTTCAGTTTGAATACAGGCCTGTCCACATAATGGGTGCACTATAAGTATTTATTGAATGATAACCTAATGTCTCTTGTTTTCTACACAGTATTTAATAAGATTACATTTGACATCTTTGTGAATAAGGTGATAGGACTGCTGAATAGAGTAGTTGCCAAAGAGCCAAATTCAGAAAGTATTGATTAATTTTGTAGTATATCCTAGATGGAGGATGTGCTGATAGTAAACTGACTTTTGCTCTTTCTTCATAAGCATTTTAAATGCCAGTATTAAGTAAAGATATTGAAGTCATGATTATCAGATTTCTGGAAAATGTCTTAATATCTAATCAATGATTAAAACTGGAAGGTTTAGAATGATCTCACAGGTCAAATCAACAAGGCAAAAGTCTGAAAGGTTACATCTTATATCCTGTGTTTTGGTTGTACATTAAGGAAATTAATGTGGAAAAGATCTAAAATGATCAGATCACCACAACTCAATATGAGCTTGCAATTATTAATTCTGTTTAGAAAACAAGAAAAAATTTCTGCTGGCGTAGACTTTGGTTATGTTAATAGACTGCAAAGTTCAAATGACTGGAATTATAGCATTCCTGTTCTGTGTTGGTCGCTCTACCTTTGGAGTTCAGTTTTGGATATTACCACATTTTATGAGGAGTTTGACAAACTAGAGTGTTTCTAAAAGATAGTAATTAGGTATAGTGGGTCTCTTGGAAAGCAAATAATACAAGGAGTGCTTGACAGAATTGGTAATTGGTATAATCAAGGGAGAGAAATAATGGTAGTTTTTACAAATCTGAAAGGGCTCTTCTACAGAAGAAACGGATGACTGGTTTGATACTGCTCTAGGACAGGGGTCGAAAACTATGGTCCAGGCTCACTGGCTGTTTTTGTAAAGAAAGTTTTATTGGAACACAGCCATGTCTGTTCATTCATGTATGGCTGCTTTCACTACAATAGCAGAATTGAATAATTGTGACAGAGACCATATGGCCTGCAGAACCTAAAATATTTACTATCTGGCCTTTTACAGAAAGTGTTTGCCGACTCTTGCTCTAGAAGATGCCAGGACTTGTTGGTACAAGTTGTAGGAAAACTGACTGTAGAACAGTCTACAAGATTTTTGTTTATTTGTTTTTAAATAGAGCTGTGAATCCTGGAATGGACTTTTGTGTAAGGTATTGGACCTTTTGTCCTTTGTTGGACCTTTTTCAAGGTGAGAAATTGGAGTAGATGATTTACCATCTCAAGACTTATAGTGGAAAAAGTAATCTAGTGCAGATAGCATTAAGCAATTATTGTTCTAATTAAAACAAAAAAATATATATATGTAATACATATATTCATGTTTGGTTATATGCCACCCTTGTGAATGTGATTGTCTTATGTTCATTAATGGTATTGTGGTTATGTAAGAGATCGTCTTTAATTTTCAGAGGATGCATGCTGAAGTATTTTGGGAGTGAATTGGCATTGTATTTGCAACTTGTTTTCAGGTAGTTCAGGAGAAAATAAGAATATACATACAGCAAATATAGTAAAATTAATCAAATATATTTACCATTTTATTAAAAAACATGTTTAAGTGCTCTTAAACAACTTGTAGTGTTTGGCCACTTTCAATTAATTTTCTCCACTGGTTTATAAAACTGTAATAAAAATTGTGGGCTACAGAACAGAGTAGATTTGACATTGACTAATGAAGAATGGGGCAGGGTTAAGATAAACAGAGAAGAATGGTGAGTGTTCCAGCTAAGGGGGAATCAAAAAGAAGTGCTTCTTGAATTTAAAGGAAGAGTGTGATTCAGAAAAAATAATTTCCTCTGCTGAATGCCGGTTATGATCATAAAATGCTTAGGAAAAAGAAAGAGAGCTTGAAAAATAGGAGAAGTAAAACCTTATAAAGAAATTTTCGAGTCTGTATGAAATCTTAATCATGGTCAGGGAATGGAATCTTATTTCATATCTCATTTAAACACACAGGTTTCCCTATTTGGATCCACCTAATGAGAGGCTTATTTTGGAAGCTCTTAAACAACTTTACCAGTGTGATGCTATTGACAGGTAAACAACAACAACAACAAAAATTAAACCACAACAGATTAACATCTGTTAATCTCTTAACATCTCTTTCTGTTTTATTTTATTTTATCTTAATTTTTAATTTTTATTTTAAGTAAACTCTGTGCCACATATGGAGGTCAAACAACCCCATGATTAAGAGTCATATGCTCTATTGACTGAGCCAGCCAGGCACTGCAATGTCCTTTTAAAATAGGGTTCCTAATAGTTTCTTTTATCAGCAGAAAATGATTTGTTTGAATTGAATGGATTGTTTTACCTGAAATTAGAATTTGCCCTCAGTTTTTCTTTGCCACAATTCTGAATTTAAAAATTATATGATAAAGGTCTCTGGGTGGTTCAGTCGGTTAAGCATCTGATTCTCGATCTCAGCTCAGGTCTTGATCTCAGGGTTGTGAGTTCAAGTCCCATGCTGGGCTGTATGCAGGGTGTGAAGCCTACTTAAAAAAACAAATGAATAAAAATTTTATGATAAAATTATGTTTATATTTAGTATTATTTAACAGGTAATTTTTGAGTATCGTTTCAGTGCCAGGCATTAATCTGGGTATATCAAAATAATAACAGAGCCAGAGTCCTTGTTCTCATGATTGTGTAATGGGGAAATTTTTGGTAATTATCATTCTCTCATTTCTTTAAGGACATCATCCTCTATGCCTCTATACCGATTTGTATGGTCTTTTATCATACTACTTTATTGTGTCTCATTGTTTAGTTTTTTGGATGTATTGGCCTTCCAAAGCAGGGAATTTATCATCTTCATGTTTCTTTTATCAATGACCAGTGTATCATATTTCTTGTATTGAATTGAATTTCTAGAGTTGATTTAAGGTAATATAAATTATATCTGATTTATTCTGAATTCCGAATGAATTTCATTTGTACTCTCCCAAGGTAGAAAGACTTAAGAACCTTTTCTTTCTATTAAGGAGTGGCCATGTGACCAGATTGGGTTTGTCTATGGTGGAATTTCCTCTCCCTCCACATCTGACATGTGCAGTAATCAAGGCTGCTTCTCTAGATTGTGAAGATCTACTACTTCCAATAGCAGCAATGTTGTCTGTGGAAAATGTCTTCATTAGACCTGGTAAGAAGTTTATTGGTGAGTTTTTAAAAAATTAATAGGTTTTATTTTTTAGACCAGTTTTATGTTTACAGAAAAATTAAGGGTAAGTAGAGACATTTTCCTCATTATTAAGATCTTTCATTAGTGTGGTACATTTGGTATTGATGAACCAGTATTGATACATTATCATTAACTAAAAGGATCACTATCTTGTATATTCTTTGAGTTTTGACAAATCTGTAATGACACATTTCCACCATTACAATAATATACTAACTGATTTTACTGCCCTAAATATCTCTTGTGTTCCATCTGTTCATCCCTACATACCTTACCCCAAACTCTCGCAATCACTGATCTTTTTACATCTCCATAGTTTTGCCTTTTCCAGAATGCCAGGTAGTTGGAATCATACAGTACGTAGCCTTTTCAGACTGTCTTCTGTAGCTTAGCAATGTGCATTTAAGGTTCCTTGTCTTTTTGTAGCATAATAGCTCATTTCTTTGTTGCTGAACAATGTTCCATTTTATGGAATTTGTTTATCTTTTCACGTGTTGAAGGACATCTTGGTGGCTTTTAAGTTTTGGCAGTTATGAACAAAGCTGCTGTAAATGTCCCATGCGCAGGTTTTTGTGTTGACATTGGATTTCAATTCACTGTTGAGTTATAGTATAATATGTTTATATCTGTAAGAAACTGCTAAACTCTCTTCCAAAGTGTCTGTACCGTTTTGTATTCTGACCAGCCATGAGTCTGAGAATTGCTCTTTCTTCACATCCTCACCAGCATATGGTGTTGTCAGTGTTTTGGATTTTGGCCATTCTAATAGGTGTGTAGTGATATCTTGTTATTTTTAAAATTTTTTTTTAATTAAAAAAAAATTTTTTTTTAATGTTTATTTATTTTTGAGAGAGAGAGAGAGCATGAGCAGGGGAGGAGCAGAGAGAGAGGGAGACACAGAATCTGAAACAGGCTCCAGGCTCTGAGCTGTCAGCACAGAGCCTGATGCGGGGCTCGAACTCACAAACTGAGATCATGACCTGAGCCGAAGCCGGACGCTCAACTGACTGAGCTACCCAGGCGCCCCTGTATCTTGTTATTTTAACTTGGAGATCCCTGATGAAATATGATGTTAATCATCTTTTTATATGCTTATTTGCCATTTTGTATCTTTTTGGTGAGGTATCCATTTAGATTTTTAAATTTTATTTTTAAGTAATTCACTTTGGCTCAGTAATTTGACCTGAGCCAAAGTGGGATGCTTAACCAACTGAGCCACCCAGGCGCCACCAACCCCCTCAGGTCTTTTTAAATCAGGTTGTTTATTTTCTTATTGTTGAGTTTTAAGAGTTCTTGGTATATTTGGAAAACAGTCCTTTATCAGGTATATCTTTTGCAACTATTTTCTCCCATTCTGTGGTTTGTCCTCTCATTCTTTTGACATGGTCTTTCACAGAGCAGAAGCTTTTAATTTTAATGAAGTCCAGTTTTCAGTTACTTCTTTCATGGGTCATGCCTTTGCTGTTACATTTGAAAAGTCATCACTATACTCAATGTCCTTTAGATTTTCTCCTATGTTATCTTCTAGGAATTGGATATCCATTTGTTCCAGCCCCATTTTTCAAAAAGCTATCCTTTTTCCATTGAAAAGCTTTTCCCCCTCGTCAAAGATCATTTAACTGTACTTTGTGGGTGTATTTCTGGGCCCCGTATTCTGTTCCATTCATCTCTTTTTCTATTCTGTCAATACCACACTGTCTTGATTATTAGAGCTTTATAGTAACTCTTAAAGTTGGATAGGGTCAGTTCTTGGCCTTTGCTCCTCCCCTTCAACACTGGGTCTTTTCCCTTCCTACATAAACTTTACAACCAGTTTGTTGATATCCATAACATAAGTTGCTGGGACTTTATTTGGAATTATGTTGAATCTATACATCAGGTTGGAAAGAACCGACATCTTGACAGTATTGAGCCTGTTTATCCATGTACATGAAGTATCTCTCCATTTATTTATATTCTCCAGTAATTCACTGGGCGGTTTTTATTACCATATATTTAGCCCTATGAGACATGAAACTGAGGATAAACGAATTTTACATTTTGTTATCCTTTAACTTAGTTGTTTGAAATAGAGAGTTATAATGTTCTTGGCTGAGAGTCCTTTCACTGGTAAAGAAAGATAGTATGGTGGACCTTTGCCCTGTTATAGTACATTAGTAATACATTAACTTTTTTTTCCCTCTAGAAACAAAAGAAATCGAAGTTCAGCCCTTGTACTCTAAGAGAATTGTTTTGAAGTTTCCATGCCTTTAAACTTCTGCTTATTTCCTTTCTTGGTGTGGGACACAACTTACTTCATCCCATGTCAGCTTTAATTTCTTCTAATGGGGGAAAATCACAATTTATTTTCAAATTTAAACGTTTATTTATTATTAAGAGACAGAGCATGAGCATGGCAGGGGCAGAGAGAGGGGGAGACACAGAATCCGAAGCAGGCTCCAGGCTCTGAGCCCGACGCGGGGCTCGAACCCACAAACCACGAGAGATCATGACCTGAGCTGAAGTCGGACGCTCAACCGACTGAGCCACCCAGGCACCCCCAATTTTTTTATTAATGTTTATTTTTGAGAGACAGAGTGTGAGCTGGGGAGGGGCAGAGAGAGAGAGAGAGGGAGACCCAGAATCTGAAGCAGACTTCAGCTCTGAGCTGTCAGCACAGAGTCAGATGCGGGGCTCGAACCCATGAGCCATGAGTTCATGACCTGAGCCGAAGTCAGACACTTAACCAACTGAGCCACCCAGGCGCCCCTCAAAGGAATTTCTGAGTAGACAGTATATCTTGCCTACAGCCTAGACTAACAATAGTGTGTACTATCATCCTGGTGTTATCCCTTTATAGACTGTGAGCGTTTGGTCCAGATTGGTTTGTTATTGCCAAGATTGTAATGGAGGATATATTTTTCTATAAAAATACTCTGGTTTAATCAGTGTGCTGCCTCTCCCAAATAGATTATAGTCTTAAGTGTCAGAATTTTGGTTCTAGTAATACCCCTAGCTACAGTAGTTTTTTTCTGGTAAATACCATATGCAATAAATAAGGTTGGGTTGTGGGTCGGTGGATGGGTGAAATAAGTAAAGGGAATTAAGAGAAATGAACTTGTAGTTACCAAATAAATAAGTCATGGAGATGAAAAGTACAGCATAGGGAAAATAGTCAATAATACTGTAATAATGTTTTGTAGTAACTACACTTACATTGAGTATTATATAAAATTGTCAAATCGCTATATTGTACACCTGAACCTAATATAACATTGTATGTCAACTATCCTTTAATAATAAACTTAAAAAATAAGTAAATAAATAAATAAGTTTGGCTATTTTTCAAAGCTAAAAATACTCCTAAAAACTATTGCAGGAGTATTGAAGTAGGAGTGAAGAGATCAGAGTTCTAACTTGACTCCACTCCAGTCTAATTATCTATTGGCCTAGTTTTTTTGGACTTCATTTTTCATTTGTGAAACCGGGGAATTAGAATAGATTAGGGTGATCCAGTCTAAGGCCAGAAAAAGGAATTGGTTTTCCTCATTGGAATATTTAAATAGATAATACCAGTCTCGTGTTAGCTCTTTTTTATTACCTTTTTTATTGTAATACAATTTCAAATTTACAGAGATGTTGAAAGAATAGTAGAGGAATTCCTTTATACCTTTTACCTAGTTTTAGCAGTTTTTAACATTTTGCTGCATTTGCTTTATTATTCTTTTTCTCTTTCTCTCTTGATATACATATATGCATTTTCTTTCTTTCTTGTTTGAATCATTTGGGAACATTGCTCTCTCTTACCACAAAATATTTATATATATGTATATATTTACTAAGAATAGAGGCAATCTCTTATTTAACCATAGAACATTTATCAAAAATAGGAAATTTAACAGTGATATAATACTATTATCTAGTCCAGAGTCCATATTCAAATTGTCCATTTTCCCTAGAATATACAAAAGTAGTTTTAAAATTCTTTAGGTATACCATTCTTTGCTTACAGTTTTTGTGTTTTTTTTTTTTTTTTAATGTTTGTTTATTTTGAGAGAGAGAGAGAGACAGCATGAGTGGGACAGGGACAGAGAGAGAGGGAGACAGAATCCCAAGCAGGCTCTGCAGTGGGGCTCGAACTCTCAAGTTGTGAGATCATCATGACCTGAATTGAAACCAAGAGTCAGATGCTTAACCGACTAAGCTACCCAGGTGCCCCTACAGTTTTTGTTTTTTTTTTTTAAGGTAAAGTTTATATGTAGTGAAACATAAATCTTACGTGTATAATTCAATTAATTTTTCAAAGTGCACATACCATATAACCCACACCCCTGTCAAGGTATGGAACAGTTGTATCACTCCAGAAAACTTCCTCAATGCCCCTTCCCAGTCAGATGCTACCCTACCTTCCCTCAGTGAGTCATTCCTCTATCTTTTTTTTTTTTTTTTTTTAGATTTGGCTTTTGTAAAACTTTGTATAAATAGAATTATACAGTATGTACTTTTCTGTGTTTGGCTTCTTTTGGTCAGCATCATGTATGTGAGATTCATCCATGTATTTAATCAGTGCTTTGTTCTTTTTATTGAGTAGTAATTCCACTGTATGAACGTATTAAAATTAGTTTTTATCTATTACCCTATTGATAGACATTTGAATTGTTTCTTATTTGGTGCTGTTTATAAATAGAACTGTTTTGAACATTCCTCTGCAGGTCTTTTGTAGATGTATATTTTTATATCTCTTAGGTAACTACCTAGGAGCAAATTGCTGCATTATTGAGTAGGTGTGTGTTTAACTTTAAGAATTACTGGAGGGGCGCCTGGGTGGCTCAGTTGGTTAAGCATCCGACTTTGGCTCAGGTCATGATCTCACAGTTTGTGGGTTTGAGCCCTGCATCCGGCTCTGTGCTGACAGCTCGGAGCCTGGAGCCTGCTTCGGGTTCTGTGTTTCCCTCTCTCTCTGTTCCTCCCCTGCACACTTG